TTATAGAAATGGCAATAAATTATTAGCAACTTTGCAGTTAAGAGAAACACTTAAAATTTCAAGAAACACTAACTGAAAATCAGAATGGTGCAAATCGATGCTTACAGTGTCCACATACATGAACAAATTAAGAAAACCTCTTTACAATCCCTTTAAAGATACTGGTACATATCCACTGAAAGGGATTCAAGCAAGAAAATTCTATTAAATTTTAGTATCTTTGTGATATTGACTTCATAAGCTTCCTTTAAATGCAATTGCAATAACCACAATCAGAATGGTTTGTTAACCTTAACGGTAAGTATCTGTATTTGTAAAGCGCTGTTGAATGCTCACGTTAGAGCAGAAATGAGCGCTGTACCAAGTTCAATGATATTAATCTGATATAATCCTTGAGTAACATTTAGAAGTAGATAGAACAATATATAAATAAAACACATTATGGATATACTACTCCTTTTTAATTTAAGCAACGTTTCAATGCGCATACAGGAATCTTTATCATGCATTTAATTAAATCAAAGAGGAGTAGTATATCTATAATAGTAGTTTATTTATATAATATTAATCTGATCTGTAACACTTTCTGAACTATAAGGACAATGTCCGTATAATCTCTTTAGATAGGGTCATGATTATGATATAAGCCTAAGAAAAGAATGTTTTATAATAATAATATAATATTTGAAGATTATGGTTATTACAAGAATCTAATCCTCAGATATAAAAACTTCTAACCAACCAAACTCTTCTCTGATTAACATACAGTGAAATTTACCCAAACACAACACTTGAATTTCGGACAGTAGGAACGTCAAGTTGACAAACCCAGATGCACAGTGATATCGGGAGTGAGCAACAACACTTGAAATCTATATCTTCCTCGAGGGAAACCAGACTGACAAACCCAGTGGCATCAAGAGTAGGCACCATAAATCTAGGTTTTCTGACTCTCAGTAGGGGACACTTGCTCGCTAACCTGAAGGTCCAGGGTTCAATCCCAGCATAGGTTGAGATAATACCTTCGGATTTTTCAACCCGGTTTCTCCCTGTCAGTGATGAAGGTAAGAGGGGCTCACATGTAACAAGCGTCTAGTCATTCGGTTGGGACAATAAACCGAGGCCCATTAAAGATCCCTTGACAGTTGGAAATCCAAAAAGAGCAGGCTAATGCTGCAACCTGCATGGCGTTGCCCGTCTTCATTAGCACACATGGTGCAGAAAAGTAGGACATAAAACTCAATTCATTTCATTTCATTCCCTTGTTTAGTAGTTCTGCAACAATATTTCATGACAAGAGTAAACCCCCCAAACAGTTAAAAATTTCTCCTCCCATTTTTACGACAAATTAATCCCCCATCAACTCTCTCTGACATGATATAAATCTTTTCTTTTAGTGGCTGAATATCAAATAATTACTTTTTTGACAAAAATTGTGACTTGTTTTAAACTGGAACAAGTATATTAAATCTGTTGTTGTAAATTAACTCAAAGATAAATTGGAGTTAAATATGGTCCAATATACAAATAGAAATCCCCTGAATCAAAACCACATTCAATAAACACATAAATTTTGAGATTATTGTTTCAAAATAATGAATTTCAATCATTAAAAAAAAAAAAATTC